GAGAATATAATGTAATTAAAATATTAGACATGGCTAAATAGTTCTTTGATATTCATCTAAAGGATTCATTAAAAATAGACACTTGAGGTTTGTGTGGAGTTCATCAATTTTAGGCAGAGACAACAAATTCGGGGACCTCCTCAGCTTCAGTGTCACCATTGTGTGGAGGCAGGGAAATGGGAAAGACCTCACTGCCAGGTGACAGGTTGGAACTACGAGGTAAGGCCAACCGAGCTTCACGGCTGTGACTTTGATAGTTGTCAGGATGGCAAAAGGAGAAGTGTAAGATCAATTCTGGGAGACCTATTTGCCACAGAGAAAAGAGTAGGTTTGGGCCCTAAAGTAATTTAACTGTGCTATATAACTATATGTAATTTAACCGTAGCCATACTATATTATACTCTAGATAGCTACATTTTTTTCAATAAAAAAAATACATATACGTATATGCGGTTATCTACTTCCTTCCCCGACGTAGACAGCTTCCCAAAGGATAATTGGTCACACTTTTGGACTTTAAATATCTGAAGGTTATTTCCCCCACGGTTGACTTTGCATCCTAAGGATACCCACCGTTTCAATCTCTTGCTAAAGCTTGGGACCCTAGCGACCATAAGGGGACCCTGAGAAGCCCGTCTGGCGCTATTGGGGCGGGTCTCAGAGACGAGCTGTCAACTCAGTAAAGGACATTTATGAAATCTTACCCCAGATCTCCAAGCCTTCACTAAACATATTTGCCTGAAATGTTCGTATCATTGTAACCCTCTCAGCCTATTAGAGCTATTTAAGCGCGGAAGACCATTTTCTCAGCTTAGTGAAAATTACTTACTTACATAGCTCAGGTTTGCAAGGGAAAATGAAAAGGCAGTGGAGAAGATCAGCCCTGCCCACCAAGTTCTTGTTTCGTTTTCCTCCCTTCATGTGCCCCCAAGAGCCTTCCCTGTAGCGGGGGCTGCAAAATCTAGTTGGCAACTTCGTCTCGCGAGGTGATATCTCCACAACACTTTGGGAAGGGCCCCCAGATTCCAGGTATTTCACTGAGCCCAAACTAACCAAACACTGAAGAATGGAACTTTTAAGACAGGGGGAAAAATTAATAAATGAATGAAAAATCTGCCCTCTAAAACCTTTTGCTTTCCATTGACCAGATGTTTGCTTAGAAAATCCAGATGTACGTTTTCTCAGTACCTTTTGTGAGAAGATGTATGGTTTTGCTCAACAAAGCTAGAGGGGGAGTAGGAGCAAATATTTTAGTCTGGAGAGGTGGGGTCAAGGGACAATTTTGGATATCTACATATATGTGATTTTTTTTTTTTTTTTAAGTAAGCTCTAGGCCCAACATGGGGCTTGAACTCACGACCCTGAGATCAAGAGTCGTATACTCTCCTGGCTGAGCTACTCCGGAATCTTACTTTAGTGCATTTTAAAGAGTGGAATACCTAGGGGTGCCTGGGTGGCACAGTCAAGCTTCCTGTTCTTGATCTCTGCTCAGGTCATGATCTTGCAGTTCATGAGTTCGAGCCCTATACCGGGCTGTGTGCTGATGATGCAGAGCCTGCCTGCAACTCTGTCTCTCCTGCCCTCTGTTCCGCCCCTGCTTATTTTTGCTCGCTTGCTTTCCAAGTAAATAAATACACTTAAAAAAAATTGAGTGGAATACCTGAATAAAATTTTTATTAGATATCTTCCTCCTTTATATTGCCTTTACGGTATACAAATTTTGTCTGACAACATAGACGACTCCTTATCCGGGATGAAGGGGGAGTAAGACGCTCTGGATAAATAAAGTTCACAATTTATTCTTGCTCTAATAAAGTTAATCTTAAAAAGATTTAGGAGAGCAACTTGTAGGAGAGCAACTTTTTTTTTTTTCCTTAAGAATCTTCTATTTCCAAATGCTACTTTGAATATGATGGGTCATCTATGTTTTAAAGAAGATTTTGGAAAGAATTAGCTAAACTTGATATCTTAAAACTATGACCCGAATTCTATTCATCCTGTTCTATTTTTCAATTAGTAATTAAAAAAGAATCCACACCACCCTCTACCCCCAGCCCCGTGTTTATCTAGTTGGCTGTTGTAGACAATTTGCTATCAACTCAAAGTTCTCAATTAGCTCCAGTGTTTTTATAATTACTGGATGTGTTTTCAAACAACTCCCAGCTAATAACCATTGGGATGAAGAGTCATTTTCTCACTATAGATTGCACGCTCATGCTCGCTGATGTTTCGACAATGATTCATTAACCAATAATAGGGCCCCAATTGGAACCATTAAGCATTGGTGCCTTTGCTAGACTTACCTTTTATTTTGTTCCTCAATATTGTCTTCTCTGGGCCTGATTTCTGGATAACTCCTAAGAGACTCCTTAATATACAAAACAGTATCATGAAGACAGCTGTTATTGAATTCACCTACTTGGAACAAAGCTTCCTCTTAACAGGATGTTCTCGTTGGAAATTGAAGATGGAAAAGTGCCATAAAAAAGGAGTCTATAATGCGAGAATGCATGATTTAAAGGTCCTTTATACCAGTTCATAGAGATTAGGCAGATTAGGCACTGTGTCTTTTCAGTGGCACATCTAACATCCGGGTAAATCTAAGCCCTCCATCATTCTATCACTCAAATTTAAAGTTCCTTGCTTCCTAATGGGCAGAGTGTTTTTACTTCTTAAATATCTGAAGCAGAAATGCTGTAAAAATTGATCACTGATCCACTTGGGTCTACGAAGACCAATGTTGTTGCCATTAGCCTTTATTTTCAAGGCAGGGCAAAGAAGTATTTGTCATTCACTATTTCTGAGAATCGTTATCCTCAGTATCATGGTAGCTAGATCTTATGAGGTGGGGGCCAAAGGCCTCTCTCGGTTCATTCTTTAATCTCCTCCCCCAGCTTCTAGCAAGTGTGTTCTACTGTAGCCGTAGCCTTTTCGATGCCACTTGGCCACTTTTAATACTTGTGTACAGAGGACTGTGAGGGTTTATATCCTGGCTGCGAAACACTTGGTTTGGAAGTAAAGATTCTGTGAACTGTTTGACGTCGACTACACCATGCCACCTGCTTCAGCTCCGTGTGATTCTTGACAATGGGTGAAAGGGATTGAAGGATTTAAAAGTGCTTAGGCTGACAGAGAAACGGTTAGCGGGAATGTGCAAAAGTGAAATTGTGTCTTTTATTAGGCAACATCTGGGTTGCTTTATATGTAGCTTTCAACTTTAACAATGTAATCATGAAGTTGCCAGATGATAGGCATTACGATGTGATCAAGTAAGTAGTCCTGCACATTTCTAAAAAGGGAACTTAACGATGGAAGTTCACGTCCAAAACTGAAGTTCATAACACTGACCTCCTCCTTTCCTACACAGTAAACAAAACTACCACTTGCTACAAACAAATAATCAAACAGTGCTGTCCTTGGTGTTGAAAGGTTGAAGTTTCGACCTGGAGGCTCCCTCTCCCGTTACTATCAGTAGGACTGACAGATGTCAGTCATTTATCCTACCTTGATCTCCATGTCCTTCTCTGAAAAATTGGTAGGTGAACAAAATACACCAATCCCAAGCTCTACATTCTTTTAAGGTACTCTAATAGAAATGGAATATTATTTTAAAAGTTTACCCTGTCCCTTTAAATTTAGAAACGTCGCTATATGCGTTGCTTAAACTTCCAGACTAAGCTTAAATTTAAGGCTATTTGGGAAGAACGATTCAATTCTTAAGCTTCTAGAAAAGTCTTCATCATGTACCATGAGGGGTCTTCTTTTACAAATACATTTTAGGATCACTTTGGGCTATGAATTTCCCCGAACTAATGCTTCACATAGATTATTTTCAAAGTCCCACTGAAACACGATTCATCAGTTTACTATTTATCTTCAGATATGCATGATCATTCAAGACTTTCAATTCTAACTGCTTCCAGTTTTAAGAGAAAGTTATGTACAAGTAGCTTTTATGCCACATCATGGTACCTGTGAAATGTTTATAACAAAGGAGATTTACTCCCTTGGATTTTTTTTTTTTTTTAAGAGAGAGAGAGGGGGGTGGGGAGGGGCAGAAAGAGGGAGCAAGAGAATCTTGCTGATAATGCAGAGCCTCACATGGGCTCGATCCTTGAACTGTGAGATCATGACCTGAGCTGGAATCCAGTCAGACACTTCACTGAGCCACCCATGCACCCCTGGACTTGTTGACTCTCTAATTCATGTCTTTCTTTTTAATATATATTTTTAATGTTTATTTATTTTTGAGTGAATGAGAGGGAGAGAGAGCATGAGCTGGGGGAGGGGCAGAGTGAGAGGGAAGCACAGAATCTGAAGCAGGCTCCAGGCTCTGAGCTGTCCGCCCAGAGCCTGATGTGGGGCTCGAACCCATGAACCATGAGATCATCACCTGAGCCAAAATTGGACACTCAACCGACTGAGCCACCCAGGTGCCCCTCTAATGTCTAGATGCTCTGTTAGAATGACATTGGGATATGTTCTACTTAAGTAGGCAAACCTAGATGTGCCTTCGTTTTTTTCAATTTTATATACAAACCTTTACTAAATTTAGAGATTTTGTTTAACTTAGTTTAGAACTATTTTGGAAATAGTTCTTTTTTAAATGTTTGTATTTATTTTTGAGACAGAGACAGAGCATGAGCAGGGGAGGGGCAGAGAGAGAGGGAGACACGGAATCTGAAGCAGGCTCCATCCAGGCTCCCAGCTGTCGGCACAGAGCCCGACGCGGGGCTTGAGCCCACGAACCGCGAGAGCTGAACTGAGCCGAAGTTGGACATTTAACCAACTGAGCCACCCAGGTGCCCCGGAAAGACTTCTGATGTACTGGCAGTTAGTTAGTCCAGTTTAAGTTCATTTTAGTTGAAACTGAAGCATTCATACCTTTTTCTTATCTGGAGGGTAAGAGAGCAGCATAGTAGATACATTTATTACTGGGCAACTTGAAGGTTTTCATTTATGCAAGGATGGGTAGAGATTGTTTAAGAAGGCAAAAAATCCAATCTACAACTAAAAGCCTTTATTCCCTAGTTCTTATTCAAATGGAATGAGTTCAGAACTCTGATTTGAAAATAAATAATGAAGAAAACATTCTTTGTAGAACCTAAAATGTGGCACCATGATGTCTTACGGCTCCATATTTTAAATTCTGCACAAAGCGACCATGGACCGCGGCTGGAGGACATTGGGTCCTCCCTCCCCGTGCAGGGAGGTTGGTTGGCCCTCTTCCTCCGTGTCCAGTCCCCGGGCATTTTTGGTCTCTGATACATGTGTTGTCTACACAATGTGAAGGGCTTTGAAAGCGGCCACAGCCTGTTTTTCCCTTTCGTGCCTGCTCTGCAGTATTTCCAGCAGGGAGATTTCAGGCAGAGCGTCTTCCTTTCGAGCATAGGTTGGATTTTTCTTCTCCTTCAATGCTCGATCAGTCAGATTGGAAGGTTTGGGTTTGGGGATGGTCTTAGCATATTCCAAAGCCTAAAAGCATAAAGATAAAATGTTATTTGAGATGGGAAGTGAGCCCCGGGTTCCTTTAATGATGTGGAGTCTTAGGAAATGCTTATTAGCCATACGAATGGAGCCTCCGGCCACAATAATCTACGGAGATGTGGGTGGGAATGTAGAGAGAATGGGGTATGCAAATCATGTGAAACAACACACAGTGTCCACCAAATAAATTAGCCGCGTAACCGTGTGCTGTGAAAAAGAGCCGAGAGATGACACACAGATTTGTGCCTTTGGGTGTTTTCGTTGTAAAACGGAGTTTTATTCGAGTGTTTGAAAGTCGATTTCTCACGCGTGGGCTCTACTTAGCTTCTGGCTGTCTTCTTAAAACCAAACTTCTATTGAGGAGAGACGGACCTTACCGTTCGAAGTGGACTTGTTACAGCTTGAGACCAAAGATCTCACTGTCGTCGATGAGCCTCCATTGTTACATCCAACTCTTCCTTATTCCTAGGCTCTTTGAACTCTGGCAACTATTTATCAGACGTTGGGAATTATTCTGTTCTTTAGCATATTATCTATAGAAACCCGGAGACTGGAAAAAGCAGACTTTTTTTTTTTTTTCCTTCAGTGATGTCCGTTCCAAAAGGCGCTACAATAAACATGAGATCACGAAATAGATTTCTAAACCTGCCTTTATATCAATTTTATATTTTAATGAGCGTTTCTTGATAGCTGAAATGGGAATAGTATATTTAGGTCGTGGGGGGAGGGGGACCTCCAGACTCCTCCGTATGTGTAGGTGATTTCTGTAGGAATTTCTAATTACAGACTTGTTGCCTTGACTCTCTTCATGACAAAATAATGGATTGGAGAGAAAAGAAAAAATGGCACCATGGAAACTCAGTCGAGTGGGCTGAGGTCTTCAAGGTCCGAGGAAGAAAGGCAATAAAGAGAAAATATGATGGTCTGTGAGAGAGAACATGAAGTACAAATTCCTAAAAGCACGAAAGGGTCACTTGTCCCTCATGCAAAGGGTCCCACGTTCTTACTGGGACGGAGACAGAGACTTTGCCCTGCAAGGCTCGGTGTTTCCCCGAATGTACTTCATTCACATCCTGACTTCTAGCTGGATGACCTCTGAGACGGAGAACATTCTGTATTTTATGAAATTTTTTTTTTTTTTGTGGCTAGAGAAACCTATATATTACGGTCCCTTGGGAACAATGGAGGGGAATGAAATTGAAAGAAACAGTGAAGGACTTTTCTTTGACGTACGTACTCCTAAATGACACGGCGACTCTAATTTCTTAAAATTTAATGCTAGGATTCTATCAGGATTGCTGGTTTCTCCTAAGAAATCACCCTACTATCCGGTGAAAACGGTTTTAAAGTTCTGAGCCGAGTTGACAGAATGTTGCATTCGTTTCCGGTGTGCAGCAGAGTGATTTGCCGAATCCGTAGGTTAGGCTGTGCTCCCCACAAGTGTAGTTACCATCTGTCACCACGCAGGCCGTGACAGTATCGTTGACTATAATCCCAGGGCCGTGCCTTTCGTCTCCATGATTTCCTTCCATAACCGGAGGCTTGTACCTGCCATTCCCCTTCAGCCACTTTGCCCGTCGCCCTCACCACCTGCCTTCTGGCGACCATCAATTTGGTCTCTGTATTTATGGGTTGGATTCTGCTTGTTGCTCGTTCATTTGGTTTTTAGGTTCCACATAGGAGTGAAATTGTGTTTCTTTCTCAGTCTGACTTATCTCACTTAGCAGAATACCCTCGAGGCCTATCCACATTGGCATAAGTGGCCCCATTTTATCCTTCTTTAATACGCCCCGTCTTCTTTCTCCATTCTTCTATAGAGGGACACGGGGGTTGCTCCCGTATCTCGGCTACGGCAAATATTGCAATAAACATACGTGTGCATGTGTCTTTTCGAATCCGTGCTTTTGTTTTCTTTGGGTCAATAACGAGTAGTGGAACTATTGGATCATATAGTGTTTCTGTTTCTAGCTTTCTGAGGGGCCTCCATCCTGGTTTCCACAGTGACCGTGTGACCTGACATTCCCACCAGCAGTGCATGAGGGTTCCTTTTTCTCCAAAGGCTCGCCAACGCTTGTTATTTCTTGTCTGTTTGCTTCTAACCTTTCTGAGAGGTGTAAGGTGATCTTATCGGGGTTTTGATTTGCATTTCCGTGATGAGGAGTGATGTCGAGTATCTCTTCATGTCTGCCGGCCTTACTATTCAGTTTGTGGGTGGGTGACAAATTTGAAATACTGTACTCGGAAGAAACCATGGAGGGCTAAAGACCATGACGAACTTCAGGCTAATCTTACAGCATCATATGTGTGTACGTGTTATTTGTATCACTGTCTGTATCAATATCAGTATCTGTGAAGGAGGGACAGCTGCAGGAACACAGGAGCTAAGACATCCCTGTGTTCCAAAAAAAAAAAAACCCCAAAAAGGTGGGGGAATTTAAGAGGTAACAAAGGTTTCCTTTTCATTCTAATTGCAAAGCTAGCGGCCTTGCTGAGAATTTCTTACCTTCTGCCGAGGGATGGCAGATTTACTTTTGGTTTTTGCCGTTTGTGGTTTCGGCAGGAGGGAAAGCGTCTTGGTGTTATACTCCTGAACTTGTCTGGCGTATTCCTTTTTTTGGATTAATTTCTGCATCTGTTCGGAGAAACAAAGTTACGACCGTGCACAGGCCCTGCTAGATCTCCCCGTTCTCTCCTTTTAAAAACAGCACTCGTTTTAGCCGGCTGGGCGTATGGTAGCGTCTCGGAGGCACTGGGGAAACGGGGTTACCATGTGTAAGGCAACGGCGGTGAGATGGTTAAGTTAATGTTTCTCCTAGAAACAGTCTCTCTCGGAGGGGGCGGGACATCACCGCAGGAGCACACCCAGTGTTCCCTTAACAGGGGCTAAATCACATTCAGCTCTTTCTTTGTTGCATTTACCCAATTTATTTTCATTTTGGCTTCCAACTTTGAACTATACTCTCTTTTCATGCCCTGAGTGCAACCGCAGTTAAAACACATTAAATGAAGATCTCCTTTCACTAGAGGAAAGGAACTAAAGTGGATGCACTTTTCATGGGTTGGGGAACTCTTATCCTAAGCGTCTTCTCTGTAGCCACTCTTTGAAATTACCAAGATCACTCTATTGGGAAAGACCAACGACCGTCTAACACACACATCTCTTTTCATGTGCACATGGCCCTCTTCTGTGCGGGCCCTCAAACCTAACTAAAAGGTGGATACATAAAACAGCATTGGCTGGGTAATTTTTATGGTAAAAGGCGTATCCGGGTCTCTATTACCAATGCTATTTCAGAAGAGTCTACTCAGAGGGAGACATTTGGATGAGGACTTGGTTCCGGGGCACGGGTCTGTGCGGTTCTGCTAAAAGGCAGGTCGGCAAACCCAAGCCTACAGAATGCTGTACGTACGTCACACTCACTTTGTCTCTGATGGACTCAAGGTCAGGTCCAAGGCCTCCAAGCTTCACGTCTCTTTTCTGATAACCTTTCAGCTTGGCACTCTACAGATACAAAGAGACAGTTTCTATTAAGGAACTGTATGTTCCCCCCACCCCCGCCCAGCTGTCCTGGCCACACAGGACAGGGAAGAACGGAGGTCCGTGTGGACAGCTGGGAGAGTGTGGCCGCAGTTCCTGATAGTTCTTCCACGTTAAGGGTAGCTCTTGATAATTTGTAGCTTCTTGGGTAATTTGTAGCTGGTCGGCTCGCGGGCTGTGACTTCTCCGACTTCTGCAACAACAACAAAGCTGGAATTCTGAGAATTACAAATAAACATTTTCGAGTGAACGAACTGGTGTTTTGTTATTAACCTTTTGAACAACATCTGCTATTACTGTTATGTCTGGTCTCCTACAATGACAAAACCAAATGATTTCCTGGGAAGAGGCGATCTAAATCAGGTAAGCATTGCTTCAAAAAGAGGAGTGCCCTGATGATGTCATAACATTCAAAAGACAGTACATTTTTTAATCTTTTAATGTTTGTTTACATTTGAGCGAGCGAGACCGAGAAAACGAACCAGTGGGGGAGGGGCAGAGAGAGATGGAGACAGAGTCTGAAGCAGGCTCCCGCTGGCAGCACAGAATCCAACGCGGGGCTCGAACTCACAAGCCGGGAGATCATGACGTGAGCTGAAGTCGGATGCTTGACCGACTGAGCCACCCAGACGTCCCAAGATAGTAAATTTCTAAGGGTTAGAGTCTAGGCAAGATCTACTGAGAAACTCCTTTCATTCAGTGTGATTTTTGGATATTTTGAAGGGTGTAATTTTATTTTATTTATTTATTTTTATTATTATTATTTTTTAATGTTTTATTTATTTTTGACCGAGAGAGACAGAGCATGAGCGGGGGAGGGTCAGAGAGAGAGAGGGAGACACAGAATCCAAAGCAGGCTCCAGGCTCTGAGCCATCAGCACAGAGCCACATGCGGGGCTTGAACTCACAGACTGCGAGATCATGACCTGAGCCGAAGTCAGACACTCAACCGACTAAGCCACCAGGCGCCCCTGAAGGGTGTAATTTTATATGACCTTCATAGTGGTATTGCATATTTAAAGGGACAGTAACATGATGTGGCGATTTAATTTTAAATTATAACATTTGAGCAAAATAACAGGCCGGAAAAACACTAATGCTCTCCAGACTGTAGACTAGATGATGATATTCCCCTGACTCCTGCTTTCAGCGTTAAAACTGACTTGCTGCTTGGGGCAGATGCCCTTGTGGAGATACCAAGTCCCCCCGCACCCCTCCCTCTTTTTTTTTTTTTTTTTTTTGAGTTTGTGAGTTCATTCGGTTTCCTTCCTTGAAGGGAACTTCGGTATCCTTTGTATCAACTGTTACAAGAATGTGTTCTCCCGCTGGGCTAGTGCCTGACTACCCACAGCTGGCCCCAGTTAGTTTCTCCATTGCCTTTCCCCACTATAGAATCTTCGAGCCAGGTACTCTGTTCTGCAGATCCGAAGCACTGAGCTCTGGCCCGTGCGGTATAAATGAAAGTTGGCCGGGGGAAAGCTTGTATCTTAGAAAGCTCTTATCCGGGCTGGCTCGGCCCCTCTCTTTTTCTGTTTTCTCGCCTTGAATGCGGATATGGTTCTTGGATCTGAAACAGCAATCGTGGGTCGGGAAGGGAACAAGAGAACCATACAAATAACTGGTTCTGGTGTTGTGAGCTGTGTGGCTCTCTACCGGTGGGTTAATCGTATGTGAGAAGGAGCCCATCTTTTTGAAGGTACGGTAAATCGTAATTCTGTGACTTGGAAGTGAAAGCAATATTTCTAACGTCTTGGTGCTTCAGAGAGCCAGAATCTTGTGACTCGTAGGCAACATTTCTACACTTCAAGGATCGAGTTCTGCAAACCGAATTTCCCTGATTAGAATGTTCAAAACTTACAGTCGAAACTCTTTGGGCATATCTAACTCTAAAAGGAGAGAGAAGGTTCCTTTTTTCGGAAGAAGTTGTTGGGCTAAAAATCGTTTAAAAATATTAAACTATGGAGAGAAAATGGTGTTCATTAAAGGCTCGTCAAAATCCTAAATCCCCTTTAAGAAAAACGATCACCTGGCAAAACCGTTCTAGTTGCTTCTTGCCCTTGATATTTATCTGTTCATGCTTGCGTAAAATTGTCAAGTACTACAAATTAGATATTTTCACTAAGCATTTTTTTTTTTTTTTTGAGAGAGAGAGAGAGAGCACACACATGCATGAGTTGGAGAGAGGGGCAGAGGGAGAGAGCAAGAATCCTAAGCCAGCTCCTCGATCAGCACAGAGCCCCAAGTGGGGCTCAAACTCACAACCACGAGATCATGACCTGAGCGGAAATCAAGAGCTGGATGCTTAACTGACTGAGCCACCCAGGGGCCCCTTCACTAAGCGTTGTAGCATTATACTGCATTTCCCCGTCATTGGTTTCCAAAAATGACTTCCATACATAACATTCTGTCTTCTGGTTATAGTTGCATTATTTAGCTATTCCTCTAAATGTCGACCATTTAAGATGTCCTGGCAGTGAGCGTTGTTTGTGGGCTACTGTGAGAATTGCTTTGAGATCAGTTAACAGAAGTGGAATTATTGAGGCAAAATCATGAACACCTTTAAGGTCCTTCATGAACACTTCCATTAGCAATGTGTAAGAAAGGCCTCTTTGTGCAAGCCTTGATTGCACTGTGTGTGATCACATTTAAAAATCTCTGCTATGGGGCGCCTGGGTGGCGCAGTCGGTTAAGCGTCCGACTTCAGCCAGGTCACGATCTCGCGGTCCGTGAGTTCGAGCCCCGCGTCGGGCTCTGGGCTGATGGCTCGGAGCCTGGAGCCTGTTTCCGATTCTGTGTCTCCCTCTCTCTCTGCCCCTCCCCCGTTCATGCTCTGTCTCTCTCTGTCCCAAAAATAAATAAAAACGTTGAAAAAAAAAATCTCTGCTAATTACTAGGTGAATGAACCCTCGTATCTTCTACGTGGCAATCGCAAACTTGTTCTTTATCATCTGACCTGTTGTTTTGCAATCGCTGAAATTACTATTTGCCAGAGTAAACCAGAAATGAAAACGGAGAGAACCTCGCTCATATCCAAGTCCTAAATCCAATTTGTCCAAAACGGATGAGAAATGATCAGTGTGTCCAGAAATCACAAACTTAATGTGAAGCAGCTTAACTGTAATCATTGCACGGACTCCCTAAAAGATACATTGTGAAGCGTGAATAATAGCTCCCTGCTCCTGGGTTCCCCCAGTTTTTACTATCCCCTCCAATAACCAGAATCTACGTCTTGGCTGTCCTTGAAAAACCGAACACGGAGGGACTAGCGTTACCTATTTACAAAGTAAAGAGTGTGGCCCGGAGGGGAGGGGGAATCCAAATGCTCCAAACGCCTTTTCCGGGATTGGGCTGCTTCTAGCCGGAGACCTTTCTCAAGGGGGAGAAAGCATGCTTCGTAACGAAGTTTGCTCTGGGTGACTGGCCATGAAAAATCCTAGATTTGCTTAAGTTTGCCTCAAGTAATCTTGATTGCCGCTCAGTGCTGTAATTCCATTTGATCTCTTTCCATCAGAAATCTTCCTAACAGCTTTACTGAAATTGACTTTGCATACCACAGAACTCCCCCATTTGAAGTTGTACCCATTAGCAGCCGCTCCTCCCCCCGGCCCCCCACCTCCAGCACTAGGCAACGACTAATCCTGCTTTCTGTCTCTTCAAAAGGCTTTTATAGTAAAATAATCCTCAGAATTTACTTTGATTTAGTTCTCCTTGGCTGTTACAAGACTAAAAGGTCACAATAGCACCCCCCCCCCATACACCCTGAAAATTAAATCAACAATGATAGCCCTGTTAGGTCTCCAAACACGGGGTGGGGGGCGGGAATACAGTCCTGTTCTCAATACGCCCCTGATGGGGTTCGCTGCTAGTCTTTGCATAAGATGTGCCCAAGCTGACCTCAGCCATCCCTGGCCCCGCCTGATGATGGCAAAGACCAGACCCACCCGTCTGAACTGCTGTTCACTGTTGATGACCCCTTTAGCAGAAGATGGCACGGGACTGTCCTGATGGCATATTTCTGCCGGTAATTAATCACCCTTCACAAGCTAGAAGAGTGATGTTTTCTTGTAAACTTGGGGCGAAGTGTGCGTGAATTGAAAATGACCTTGACTGTCTGGCGAGGACCTGTTTCAACTCTGAAACGCTGTATGTACCCTGCTGTGGGGGCCACGGCAGGGCTTTTCTCCAGAACATTCCTCAGACGTATAAGCAGGGGAAGGCTACTCAAAAGCGGGACAATGAAAAACAATGCCTCAGATACTGGAGAGAACAGCAAGCGAAGGGAATTTGCTCTGCGGTTGAGAAATTTAATCCAAATAAACCTCTCCTTAGAAGCAGTCAAGCAGCAATACCCAGATTGTCTGTGACAACAAACACACGAGTTAATTACTGCAGCTCGGCTGCGGGAGAACCCTGTAAGCAGTGGTTTTTGTGGCGGGTCGCGATAGATACTTTTATGCTGTTTGTCGTCCTGGGCGCTGCGTCAGTCTCTTGCTGCCTGACGTCTGGCTTTAACAGCACGGACGATGCTTCGTGTTCATCAATCAGTCCCCTCAGAACTGCTAGGGGAAGGGGAACGGTGCGTGGGCCCGTTGGCTTTACAAATCCTCACATTTTTAATGTGCTTCGAGTCGATTCCCTTGGAAACCACAAGATTTGCTGTGACTAGCAAATGGGCATGACCCAGATAATGATTCCCGCCCCCCCCTCCCTGTCTGGTGCCCCGGCTACCTGCTGTCCTATACAAATAGCTCTGTTCGAAATCATTTGAGCTTCTGGAGTAGCTTAAAGGACAAAGGGCGCTTCTGTGCATTTGTCAGATGTAGGTTGAAGGTGTTGGAGCGAGAAAATGGATATGGGTGGATGGTAACATTCCTGAAAGAAAGCAGGAAGGGAAGGGCTTCTCTGACTTGGGAAGAGGGTTTGGGCGGCAGTAACTGAAAGTTCTTTTTCCTTCCTCTTCCCTACCCTCCCATGCTCTCAGACTTCTGGGGACACACACTGTCACGGAGGTACTCTCCTCCCCCTCTCCTCTGTAAGACCTGAATTTAGGTTACTGAGGGAAGGAAGAAGGAAAAGGCAACTACTTGATTTGATGGTCTACTCTTCACTAGGGACGGAGATAAGGTGGTTTTTTTTTTTTCCAGATTTTAAAGTTTATCTATTTTTGAGAGAGCGTGCGTGAGCAGGGGAGGGGCAGGGAGAGAATCTCAAGCAGGCTTCTGTCTGTCGGTGCAGAGCCTGATGCGGGGCTTGAACTCACAAATCGTGAGATCATGACCTGGGCCAAAACCAAGAGTCTGACACTCAACCGACTGAGCCACCCGGATGCCCCTAAGCTAAGGTTTAATACATCGTTTCATGTAATTGTCACACCGAATCTGCAAAAAGAAGGAATGATTTCTGATTGTGCATGTGAGGAAACGGGCTCAGGTGAGTTACTGACTTGCCCAAGGGACACCAGTATTAAGAGAGCTGAGAAATTGGGAATGGCTGAGTCTGACTCCGACTTAACCCTGCTCACTAAGAACGGAGTCCAGGGGTGCCTGGGTGGCTCAGTCAGTTGAGCATCTGACTCTTGATTTCAGCTCAGGTCAGGGTTCCAGGATCATGGGACTGAGCCCTGCATTGGGCTCTGTGGAGAGTGTAAACCTTGCTTGAAAATCTCTCTTTCTCCCTCCCTCTCCGTCCCTCCCTCTGCCCCTCTCCCCACCTCTGCCCCTCTCCCCACCTCTGCCCCTCTCCCCACCTCCTGCTCTTTCTCTCTCTAAATCATAAGAACTGTGTTTAAAGCTTGCATTTAAAAACAAATTATTTTGAGAGCGCATGCATGCAAATGGGAGAGGGGCAGAGAGAGAGAGAGAGAGAGAGAGAGAGAGAGAGATTCTCAAGCAGGGTCCACACTCACCACAGAGCCCAACACGGCACTTGAACCCAGGAACTGTGAGCTCATGACCTGAGCTGAAACCAAGAGCCAGATGCTTAACTAACAGAGCCACCCAGGTGTCCCTAAAAGCTTGCATTTTTAACAACAACCCCTAGTTGGCAAGAAACCTAACGCAGAAGATCCTCTTCTGAGGAGTGTGTTGGAGCTATGGCTTAGGCCGTTGGTAACCTATCAACCTTCGAGTCAGCAGGCCCTCCTCACCCTGAGAATGTGCTGGTTCCAAAGCTCTGAATGGATTTCTGTTTAGACATAATAGCCTGCGTGGTGTCTGCCTTCCTAGTCTGGCCTGCAAGACCCCTTCTATTTACGAAGGACTTGAGAACAGCGCTAATCCTACCGCAGAACCTAATTACCACGTAATGATGTTTCTGTAGAAAAAGAAGGAACTTGGGATCCCAGAAACACGCTGCTCCTTATTTACAGGGAGACTGGGGCTTTTCCCAGCTCCAAGCCACTGATTGTGGTTCCCATGGCCTGGGCAGGGATTAGGGACCCCCTGCAGAACCGAGGCTAAGAGGGAGTAGGGTCAGAACAAGGAGTCCAAGGAGCCGCGGGGTGGGGGTGCGCGAGGGAGCTGAGGCAGGGACGCCAGGGTTCTGAGGGGGGCTAGAGTCCTGAGGTAGACAGGCCTCCAAGTTGGCAGCTGTAAGGAGCCGGCTGGGCTGTTTCCCACCCATCAACCGCTGACGTCTTGGCCCCAAGCAGATCTTTCTTTTCTTCTCTTAAATATGCATAAAGTCCTTCTCCATATGATAAGCAGGCTCCTGTGAGACCTGGCCCCTACCTACTGCTCCACCTGCATCCGTCCACACCCCGTGCTCCGTTTCAGGGACAGCATCTCTGATGTGCTGGCAGTTCCCAGCGTGCGTCGCGGTGTGTCCAGCTTCATAGTAGCTGCTCAGGCCGGTCCCTTTGCCTGAAATGCTCTCTGTCTTGTCTTGTTCACTGTTGATCATCTAAAACTCGGCTCAGGGGGGCACCTGGGTGGCACTCAACCGGTCGGTGAAGCATCCAACTCTTGGTTTCAGCTCAGGGTCCCGATCTCCCGGTTTGTGAGTTCGAGCCTCACGTCGGGCTCTGTGCTTGCAGTGTGGAACCTGCTTGGGATTCTCTCTCCCTCTCTCCCTCTCTCCCTCTGTCCCTCTCTCCCTCTCAAAATAAATGAACTTGAAAAGAAAATAAAACTTGGCTCAGAATTATCCTCCGAAGCTCTGCTTAACCCCGCCACCCTCCCCCCAAACTCCTTGGTGCTCCTCAGTGCAGCCCACACATCCCTCTTTTTTCTTTTCTTTCCTTTTTTTTTTTTTTTATGTGCAACATTATACTGAAGCCATTTTCATGTGTGTCTACACGAGGAGGGGCCGTGGCTCATTTTCTTTACACCCTGGCACCTACCACTGTTCCTAATAGGAATTCAACACCTATGTGGAACTGAGCTAAGGTTTGATGCCCTAAACTGCCTTCTAGGGAGGGTCCCTCTAGACCGAGGCACTCATTCCCCCACTTACTGGGAGTGCTGTCTGCTGTGGCTCACAGTTGGGTCCCTCCCTAAGAACCGCCCTCAGCCAGATGGCGCTGTGGTACCCAAAGTTACAGCCCTTCCCCAGGGACAGTCAGTAGCCAATGGCTGGTCCATGTGGGTCCTGTACCTTTAAAGGGCCATCCCAACTTCAGAGTCCCTGTGGGCCTCTCGAGTCTTCTGCCTCCCCTGTATCATGGGCACACACTCTCCCTCAGCCAGCCCTGTCCCCCCACCCCCACCCCCTTACAGGGGTGGTTCTAGAAGCACTTGTCAGTAAGCCTCTTGCAAGGAATCTCCACTTCAGAGTCTATTCCTGGGGAACCCAGTCACCACATTCCCATATTGCTTCCCACTGGGTCTTGCCCTGTTGCCCTGTAAACCGGAATGCACTTTCCAGTTGTTTCCTGACCACTTGACATTCGAAGCCAGTGACTTTCCTGAGGGGTTTTTATTACTTGCAACAGTGGAGAAATGCACAGGACATAAAAAGACTCCTTCAACGTTCCTTCAGGTCCTCCTGGGAAGACTCCACTAGGAATCCCCTCTGCCCCTTTTCCGCTTATTTATCTCTACAGACTGGATGTGAAAGATTTAAATGGAGCAAAGGTGCTCATAATGGTGACTTTTACAAAGAACTCAGAAGAGATGAGCCAGTGTTGCTGAGGGAAGCCCAGTCACTGGTTGGTCCTGGGTCTTGGGGTGCAGGAGCTGGGGGGGGGATTAGGACAAGAATTGTTCCCCGGGGTGGAGGGACAGTGGGATGGAGCGGGTAGAATGCAGTGACAGACTCCCTCAGCCCTACTTTGTCTCATCTTTTCAAATACGAGCACGTGCGGAGAGACTCCGCCTAGGCTAGGGGTTGAAATGGGGTGTGAGGAACCCAAGCGTGTGACGCCTAACCTGGGGCTAGAAGGAGGACTTTCGCTTCTCCGCGAAGGTGCACCCTTCCCAGAGATGAAGCACAAAGTAGGGACATCTCAGGCGGCAGCCAGGGACGGATGAGATCAGGAAGCGCCTCAGGACTTGGGCCTGCCCGGAAGGACCTGTTTTGGGGCTGGGAGTAAGGGAATGGCCATGCCCACCTGCGTTACCAGAATTGAAAGGTTATTTGGTAAAAATGCTTTTATTACCTTGGTGCTGCTGCTTTTCCTATGCTTTTTTCCTTTTTCCAGCTGAAACAGATAGCCTTCGGAGTTGCTCCGACCCACGTTCATTTGGTTTCTTTGGCTTGTCCCCGCGCTGAGTTGGGATTCGCTTTCTACCCTGGACAAGATAGGTGGAAATGTGACGCTGGGCGAGGCCCCTTCGTTAGGCTGCACCTCCGTCAGCTGCTTTAAGGCCTGCTGATGATGCTCCATGATCTGAGCGAGCTGTGAGTCCGGAGAAGCTCTGACAGGCTGGCTGTCAGAGGGAGAATGGAATTTCCTGAATGGGGAGGAAAAAAAAAAAAAAAAAACACAACCCACAAATTTGTTCATGATACCTGGGTATATAGGACGTTTAGCAGAAAAGTCTTTTTGAACTTGAGGTATTCATCGCTCTCCAAATCAAACTCATGACCTTCAGCTGAATCTTTGCATAAATACATTAACCTCTTAAAATCCTCCTCGTTTTTCTTTAGGGTAGTTTAGCTCTTGTTTGAGGACTTGCATTTAGTGCATTTGAAATCGAAAAACAGAAACAACAAACGCCCCGTGGAAACGTCAAAGACCTTCCCACTATAAAATGCCTGGAAATGTTGGGTTAAATTGGAACAAACATCTTTTTTAGTAAATACATAGTAGAATTTATAAGAGAGACAGGGAAACTTCAAGACCACACACAAAAAAGGAACTAAAAGCAGATTTTGGATAAGCTAAAGCTATGGCTTTCTTGGTGGGAGTTTTGCACCTATGGGCTTGAGTTTTGTTTTTTAATGTTTATTTTTGAGAGAGACAGAGACAGAATGTGAGTGGGTTGGGGCAGAGAGAGGGAGGCACAGAATGGGAAGCAGGCTCCAGGCTCCAAGCTGTCAGCACAGAGCCCGACGCGGGGCTCCAAGTCACGAGCTGTGAGATCATGACCTGAGCGGAAGTTGGACGCTCAATCGACTGAGCCACCCAGGCGCCCCTGGGCTTGAGTTTTAACACTTAACGCTGGTGTAGGATATGTGAAATCTTGGCCCCGTGTGGCATGGGGAATCAAGGGAGAGGCCTGCATACAGGCCTTGGAGAGCTACGTCTACAAGAAAAAGTTGGGTTAGTGAAAGTCACCAGCCTTGAGAATCTGCAAAGCAAGGCGGTTTGTCTTGGTCTAAGCTCTCAAGTGGAGAAAAAATTCCTTGTGAATTTCCACGGGACAGCGTTTGGGGTTCAAATTTACCTTCTCCACACAATCGTGGATTCCACCAAAAAAATTAACATAAAAATGATCGTAGAAGAGGGGTCTCCCTTTTGCATCTGGCAGAACCAAATATAAAAGTTCTCTGGGGCGCCTGGGTGGCTCAGTTGGTGAGTGTCCAACTTCACCTCCAGTTATGATCTCATGGTTTCGGAGTTTGAGCCCCGAGTCGGGCTCTGTGCTGGCAGCTCGGAGACTGGGGCCTGCTTCGGATTCTGTGTCTCCCTCTCTTTCGCTTTGTCCCTTCCCCACTCTCATTCTCTCTCTCTCTCTCTCTCTCTCTCTCTCTCAAAAATAAACATTAAAAAAAAATTCTCGGGGCGCCTGAGTGGCTCAGTCGGTTAAGCGGCCGACTTCAGCTCAGGTCACGATCTCGTAGTCTGTGAGTTCGAGCCCCGCGTCGGGCTCTGGGCTGGTGGCTCAGAGCCTGGAGTCTGCTTCCGATTCTGTGTCTCCCTCTCTCTCTGCCCCTCCCCCGTTCATGCTCTGTCTCTGTCTCAAAAATAAATAAAACGTTAAAAAAAAAAAATTAAAAAAAAAATTCTCTGGAGGGATAACCTCCTTCTCTAGCCTGCCTACGTGTCTTTGGACAAGATAGCCAAGCATACATTCACAATCCCAAATCCTAGAATATATGAGGAAATAATCCACTAAGTGTCCACAGGCGCACATGCACACGCACAAGAAACAGTGACGGATTTCTATGAACTTCTGATAATAGAATTTTAATATTTTAAAAAATTTTTATTTTTTATGTTTTAAAGAGTGAGCTGGGAAGGGGGCAGAGGGGGAGAGAATTTTTTTTTAATTTAATTTCTTAATTTTTTAAAATATTGTCAAATTGGTTTCCATGCAACACCCAGTGCTCATCCCAACAGAATCTTTTTTTTTTTTAATTTTTTTAACGTTTATTTTTGAGACAGAGGCAGAGCATGAACGGGGGAGGGTCAGAGAGAGAGAGGGAGACACAGAATCTGAAACAGGCTCCAGGCTCTGAGCTGTCAGCACAGAGCCCGACGCGGGGCTCGAAATCACAGACCACGAAATCATGACCTGAGCCGAAGTCGGCCGTTTAATTGACTGAGCCACCCAGGTGTGCCCCCCCCTTTTTTTAAAATATTAATCTTTATTTCTGAAAGAAAGAACACGTATGAGTGGGGGAGAGTCAGAGACAGAGGGGGACATAGGATCCAAAGCAGGCTCTGTGCGCTGACAGCAGAGAGCCCGATGTGGGGCTCAAACTCACAAAAGGTGAGATCATGACCTGAACCGAAGTCAGATGCTTACTCGACTGAACTAGGCAGTTCAGTCTCTCTGGAGAGAGAGAATCTTAAGCAGGCTTCATGAGCCTGACACGGGGCTGGATCCCATGATCCCAGGATCTTTATTCTCAACTGACTGAGCCACCCAGGAGCCCCTAGATAGCATTCTGAAGCATGTGTAAAGATTTTAAGGACCTGAGAGGAGAAATCAAAACCCTGAGAAACCGATTTTGGAGAAAAAAAAAAAAAGGTTTTAATCAGAACCGAATAAAAATTCTAGACATGAAAAATACCACTATTGAAATTTACTAAATTTTGATTAAAGTGCATATTAGACTCAGCTGAAGAAAGTTAGTGCATTGGGAAACTGGTGGGAGGAAATTTCTCAAGCACAGATAGATAAAAGATGAAATAAGAAACCGTTAAAGAGACCCAGAGTCTAGAATAACAGAATCTAGTATGCATGTATTTGGTGTTCCCGGAGGGAAAAGAGTATTTCCTGAGACAGGAAATATTCATAGGAAATAGTACATAATAATCAAAGGGAAAATGGATGGTAGTTTTTATGGAATTTATGAAAGCGATGAATCCTCAGATTTAGGAATCACAAGCAGGATTAAAAACTTCATATCGAGGGGCGCCTGGGTGGCTCAGTCGGTTAAGCGTCCGACTTCGGCTAAGGTCACGATCTCGCAGTCCGGGAGTTCGAGCCCCGCGTCGGGCTCTGGGCTGAGTGCTCAGAGCCTGGAGCCTGTTTCAGGTTCTGTGTCTCCCTCTCTTTCTGACCCTCCCCCGCTCATGCTCTGTCTCTCTCTGTCTCAAAAATAAATAAACGTTAAAAAAAAATTAAAAAACAAAACAAAACAAAAAACACTTCATATCGAGACCTAACACAGGGAAACCTCAGAATACCAAAAACAAAGGGGGAAGCCTTAAAAGAGAAAAACAAAAGGAATGATAATTATATTGACAAAAACTTTTCAAAGAAACAGAAACCAGGAGATAGGAAAATGTTTTCCAGCTCTTTACCAGGTTGAACTATAATTCAAGATAGAGAGTAAAGGTCCTTTAGGTAGATTTAGCAGTGACCTACCCTTCCTGAAAACCTTTCCAAAAGTTCTACCTCAGGAAGAAAGTCAAATGGAAGAAAAATGGTGAGGCAGAGACATTAATAAACAGTTAAATTTAAAACACTCTCTACAAGAAGCCTTAACTTTTGGAGACCTAGGAACTACAAAAGATGCTGGAGGATGATGCGTGACTCAAAGGGCGATTGGATTAAAACAATCCAGCGATTCTGAATATGCTCTGGAAGAGAACAGAAATATTTTGCCTGGCTAAGTAAGTTTTTCAAAAACCTAAGTTGGGTGAATCTAGAGGGTATTATGCTAAGTGAATGAAATCTGAGTCAAATACCATAGGATTCCACTCATAAATGAAATCTATAAACTCTAAAAAGCAGAATCGGTCCTGTAAATACGGAGAACAAACTGACAGTTGCCGGAGGGTAGGAGGTAGGGCGTTGGGCAAAGTGGGTGATGGAGAGAGGGAGATACAAGGCTTCCAGTTATGGAATGCATAAGTCACGGGAATAAAAGTCATTGCATAAGGAATACAGTCAATGATACTGTAATAGCAATGTGATGGGACAGAGGGCAGTTACACTTGTGAACGTAGCATAACGTATAAACTTGTCAGATCACTAGTTGTGCAGCCGAAACTAACATTGTGCGTCAACTATACTCAAAATAGACAAAGCGTATTTCCAAATCAGGGGAAAAAGTAACAATTCTATTCAATAAAAGACACAGACACACACACACAAAGGATAGAAACAGGGTGACGGAAAGGACAAATTACGATGGTAGAAATAAATCCAAATATGATTATTACAGTAAACATAAGTAGATTAAAGTTGAAAATCTGCCCACAAACCGAACAAAGCCAGACAAAAAATACATGTGATCTAAATGGTTTTATAGGAAAATTCTATGAAACTTCAAGTAATAGAGAATTCCAATTGTATATCAAGTGTCCTAGAGGATGGAGAAAGGGGGAATACTCTGCAGCTAGTTTTATAAGGTTGGTATAGTCTTGATAACCCATTCAGATAAGGCTAGTGGCAGATAGGAAAATTTTAAGCCCACCTCACTTCACGCATGTGAATGTTAAATCCTAAATAGTGTTAAAAAATTAAGCAACATATTAAAAATACAATGTGACAAGTTAGGTTAATCCTAGGAATAAAAGGATGATGTCACATTAGGAAATCTATTAATAGGGGCACCTTCGGTGGCTCAGTCAGTTGAGCGACCGACTCCTGATTTTGGCTCAGGTCATGATCTTGTGGTTTTGTGGGTTCAAGCCCCATGCTGACCATACACAGAGCCTCTCTCTGTTGCTGCCCCTCCCCTGCTCATGCTCTCTTTGTCTCTCTCCGATAAAAATAACTTAAAAAAAAAAAGGAAATCTGTTAATATATTTAACTACCTTAAAGGATTTAAGGAGAAAAATTTTCAATTGATGCAGGACAAGTCTTTGATAAAATTAAGTATCCATTTGTGATAAAAGCTCTTGGCAACAGGAATAGGAGACATTTCCTGTCTCCCCTCCCTATCTAGCAAAAGTTAAATATTTTTAATGGTATGAATGTTAGAAGCGCTCCCTCTAAAGTCAGGAAAAAAGACAGGGATGCCTGCTACCTATCACGATCTCTTCTAGGAAGCCAGTTCTGAATTTTATTGACTGTTCCATACCTCCAGGTGAAGCACTGAGATGTCTTCTTACTTCAGACATGCAACATTGTCTACCTACTTTGAAAGTAAGCTCCTTGAAGGCACCAGGGCATCACACTACTTTTGAACCTTCTATATAGCATTTTAGCACTGGATTTAATGCATATCTGGTGTGTAATATACACATTCGATTGAATGACATCGGCACACGTCCCCTGATGTGAGTTTAAAAATAACTTTTTTTTTTTTTGGTCTGACGATGGAAGCGATACATCTACACCGCAGGGAACTTGAACAATTCAGATTCAGAAAGTATGCACAGGACATTAAAAATAAGTCCAATTTCTCTTGCCAGAAATAACTGCTATGGACATTTTGATGCATTTTTCCTCGTTGGTGCCTATTTCTGCATAGTAGAGCTCCTACTCCTTAGGTGTAAATTTGCACCTTACTGTTTGCTTTTTATAGAAGTATTTCTTTAAAATAGGTTTTTTTAATGTTTATTTTTGAGAAAGAGCACGAGCGGGGGGAGGGGCAGACAGAGAGGGAGACACAGAATCCGAAGCAGGCTCCAGGCTCCGACCTGTCAGCACAGTGCCCGAGGTGGGGCTCGAACCCACAAATTACAAGATCATGACCTGAGCCGAAGTTGGACCCTTAACCGTCTGAGCCACCCAGGCGCCCCTATAGAAGTGTTTCTTTATAACCAAAGCTTTTTAATGGTTGCGTGACATTAAATACCATCATTTACCTAAACGTTTCCTTATTGTTGGATTATTGTTGTCATTTTGGTAAATGATGGTATTTGGGGGCATACCTTTATTTGCTTAGGATAACCACGTTGGAGACCGTTTCCGCCAAACATTACTTGTAACCCTCAAAATATACTGATTTTTTTTTTTAATTTTTTTTTTTTTACAACGTTTTTATTTATTTTTTTGGGACAGAGAGAGACAGAGCATGAACGGGGGAGGGGCAGAGAGAGAGAGGGAGACACAGAATCGGAAACAGGCTCCAGGCTCCGAGCCATCAGCCCAGAGCCCAACGCGGGGCTCGAACTCCCGGACCGCGAGATCGTGACCTGGCTGAAGTCGGACGCTTAACCGACTGCGCAACCCAGGCGCCCCTGATTTTTTTTTTTTAAACTGGGTCCTTCTCTCTCCTTCCGTCCCTCCAACCTCTGGCTTAACTACAGTGGGAAAAGTAGAGGAGACTGGGAAGAAGAAAAGAAATACCTCGAAAGTGGGCTATGTGAGGCAGAAATCAGAGCCAAGGACATTGCTAGGCGAGGTTTTCCTCTCCCTTGACCATCCCCATGACCCACGCCTTCTCCTGTCTCCAGTGGTCTCTCATAGCTCCTCTAGGAAAAAGTTGGGAAAAGGGAATTCTTACCATAGTATTTCTAAGTTCTTATATTTCGTCTCTGTGTAAATCTGCTTGGGTTGCTTCTTATTTGTGGTTGATCCATTAACATTTACTGTAGGAACAGACTGTGAGCCTTTCTGGCTCAGGGGCACTTGTCTCTTACTAAGTTCGTTTAGGTGGTTCAAGCCCACATTGGGAAGAGTGTGGATGTGTGGCTGCTGACGTGACGGTCTTTTCTCTTCTTGGCCTTCGTGTCCTCTTTGTTGGTGAACATCCGTCACTGACTGATGTCCAGCAGAGTTGTTATACGATGCCTTATCAGAAGCCTGCTGTGCTGGGCCAAGTTTGTTGGAGGTTACTTTGGGATCCCGGCTCCTAAGTGCACTGGAGTCTTGTAAATCATCATTCGGGGCATTCATAATTACAGTTGTTTCGTGCTTTATTGAAGGATCAGTGGGCTTATTCTCGTTTGGTTGCTGTCTGGGAGTGCTATTCTGGTTTCCCTGACAGACAGCCAGCTCCTCAGTCACCAGAGACCTCAGGCCACGCTGGCGTTGATGCTGTTTCCGGATGCTGCGCTTGGCTGGTTTTCTGGAAGGCTGCTGACCGTTGGTGGTTTCAGAAGATTGACGTCTCAGTAGGTTGTTTGATTTTGCACTTTCACATTGAGACCAGTGTCCTTGGTGATTCTAAAAAGAGAGCTTTGGTTAACGTAAAGCTAAATGATCAGCATGCTTCACAATTAATAGTAGTATTTTCCAAATTGCCAGTTAAGCCTTCTGGAAGGTGACCACAGAATCAAAAGGAGATTATGAATGGGGGGAGGGGGGGACCTTTCCTACTTTCAGGATGTGAGAGTGATTGAGTAATTCCTCTTGGCAATTTCAGATTATGAATTTTCTAGAAAGAGGAAGAGAGCTTAGAATGGGCTTTATATTCACGACTAGTCTTTGACTTCAAATGTAAAACGATGTATCACCGCAGGGTGGGGAGGGAAAGGGGCTTTACCTCTGCAGGGCTGCATTACAAAGAAGGTGCAAATCTATACCAAGATATGCAAGTTTATTCTAACCAAGACGGATATTTCTAAACATCTTAACCAGAAGGGACATCAGTGATCTGCTTACCAACCAGGTACAAATCTAATAGGAGATACAATTTAGATGATCAGATCTTCCTACTCATATGGGTCAGAAGCTAGAAATGACCTCTTCACCAGATGAAACAAATTAGATTTTATTCAGAGGATTATAAAGGAGGCTGCACTGTGATAGGACATCTGTGAAACCGCAAAGGTTGTTTTGCTTCAGTTCCTTAATATAGCCTGTACTTAGGCAATCAAACATCTGGGGGAAATATTTCAATTTCAGAAAGGTCTTTATGCTTTTCAAAGTCTTGTCACAACAAAATGTACTCCTGGTATAATAGATACACTATGTAACTCTATTGTGCTAAGCCATTTAGAAATATTTTCCAAGGAATAAAGCACTCATTACTTTGTGAAAAACTAGCAGAGTTAAGAGGCCTTTGGAAAAGAATGATTAAATGCTTAGTAAAAATAGTAAAGACCGTATGCATCAGTGTGGAATATACCTGTGCCATATTTTTTCCTTTCTGAACACCTAAAAAATCTCTATGGCCTGTATCTATGCAATGTTAATTGAAAAATCCAAGTTACCTGGATCACTCGAGGGGGGGGAACACCTTTTTTTTTTTTTTTTTTTTGCTCAAATTGTATAAGCTTGCTATGAACAATGATTAAATTACTGCAGCGAGTTCAACTTTTTTTTCACGTTTCTGGTAGAATTACTAGGACATCCTGTTCTCTGTAATAATAAATGGCATTCTATTTCTTTTTTTCAACGTTTATTTATTTTTGGGACAGAGAGAGACAGAGCATGAACGGGGGAGGGGCAGAGAGAGAGGGAGACACAGAATTGGAAACAGGCTCCAGGCTCTGAGCCATCAGCCCAGAGCCTGACGCGGGGCTCGAACTCACGGACCGCGAGATCGTGACCTGGCTGAAGTCGGACGCTTAACCGACTGCACCACCCAGGCGCCCCGGCATTCTATTTCTAATGAAGTTTCCTTATAATGATTAGGTCGAGACTGTTAAATTTAACACAGTAATATACAATATTACTTTGCATTGTCAGATTTTTATTTTTTTTAACTTTTTTAATTTTTTAATTTTTTTTATTTATTTATGGGACAGACAGAGACAGAGCATGAATGGGGGAGGGGCAGAGAGAGAGGGAGACACAGAATCGGAAACAGGCTCCAGGCTCCGAGCCATCAGCCCAGAGCCTGACGCGGGGCTCGAACTCATGGACCGCCAGATTGTGACCTGGCTGAAGTCGGCCGCTTAACAGACTGAGCCACCCAGGCGCCCCTGCATGGTCAGATTTTTAAGTAAGAATGGCTTATCTGAAATTTAGACTATGTTCTCCTCAGAATTTGAGCTTTCCGGAGGATTGGCCAGGCTCTGATTAGCTCGTCTAAACTTTACATTTTTACCTTTGGTACTCGAAAAAAAGAAAAACTTCTTTTTTTTTTTTTTTTTGTATTTCAGTTAAGAAAGGGGCACCTGGGTGGCTCAGTTGGTTAAGCATCTGACTTCGGCTCAGGTTATGATCTCGTGGTTCATGAGTTTGAGCCCTGCATTGGGCTCGGTGCTGACCGCTCAGAGCCTGGAGCCTGCTTCGGATTCTGTGTCTCCCCCCGCCCCCCCGCCTATCCCCTCTCAAAAATAAACATTAAAGAAAAACAGTTTTCCTTCCATGCGGTACATGGAGCTGCACGGGAGAAATGTGGGCACAGAGGCTCTGCAAATAGATAATCCAAGAGCATCCTTCCTTAAAGTGGACCCAGAAGAAAACGGCTATTTTACAGTCGTATCAGTGTGTTAATGAAACACGGTGGCTCTTTTCATGGCTGTCATCCCTGTTTATGAAGGCAAAAAAGAAAAATCACCTTTGCTGTGATCCCTAAATATGTATTGATGCTGATAGTGTCATATAGAAGAGGATCTGTTCTGGGGCGCCTGGGTGGCCCGGTCGGTTAAGCGTCTGACTCTTGATTTCAGCTCAGGTCACGATCTCACAGTCGCGAGTGAGATCGAGCCCTGCGTGGGGCTCTGTGCTGATAGTGAGGAGCCTGCTTGGGATCGTCCCTCTCTCTCTCTGCCCCTCCCTGGCTCACACTCTATCTCCGGCTCTCTTCCCCTCTCAAAATAAACAAACAATTAAAAAGAAACTTGTCCAGCCTTTTAGTTGCTAGAAAAATAAGCGAACAGGAATTCTTTCTGCTCCCATCCTAGCCCTCCCTCCTCATTCCCATCGACAAAGGGGGGGGGGGGAAGCTACCAAGAGTTCTTTCTCTGGGGTCCCAGACCCAAAATCTTGGGTTACCACTTGGTTTTAATCATGTCCCACCTTTGCTGCTGACGATTCAGATTACAGTAGTACTCTTCATAGGGGGCTTTGTCAACAAGGCGGAGGACTCCTCATTTGAGGAAGCTTCAATTGTCTCGAGTGTTAAATCCGCTATTCACGTGAGCGTAAGTGCCCAGAGATGGCATTTCAGTCCCCAGAAGGGAAGACATTTACGGGCTTGCTGTGATTTCTCTCACCTTGTGAGCAGGCTACTTGAGCTGTGTGGTTTTACTGAAGATTTATTTCCCTACAATTGAGGTGCCAGGTGTCACTTTTTAGGTCACAAGACCTGAGTTCCCTCAAGGTAATATACAAAGCCATTCTCAGGCTACTTAATCTCCATCAGCGCTGAAATCCTCTATTTTATCCTGCTCTCAACGGGGTTCTTTTGTTACCAACACTCACAACCGGTCCATGCCACATGCACTCAGAATAACGGCTTAATGGCACTAGGGTTCCCTGGCCCACACACACCCTTGTCCATTGGAACAGCGTTTGTGTCGGGGAATCCTGGTGCCTCACGCTGGGAGGATGATTTCTTAGTAAGATCCGCGCTTCGTTATTAACGTTTGTTCATACCGTGCCATCCAAAGGTAGTTTGCCCCCAACCCCGCAAAAGGCAGCGTCTGGCTGTTTCTTTTTGGCGGCTTTCCTGTTGCTATGCCATAAGCAGAGAGGAGGATGCATGGTCGTCTTAACCAAAGGTTCATCTGCTTTAAAACAAAAGCTGTTCTTGTCCGTAGTGACCCCGATCGACCCTGGCGTCCTGAGGGTTGTGCCTGGGCTCCAGGGTCAGCTCTGACATTGAGAAGTGTCTGTTGTGTTTATTAACAATGAAACACAAATACTTCGAACTTGGGTTAGAAATTCCATCGGATAAGAAAACTTAGAGCACACGTATTAACTGGCTCTAATTTATAGCATCAGGAAGGGAGGGTTCTGTGTTCAGATGAACAAAAGACGTCAAGAAGTCTTGACAGTGTTGGAGCCCAAACCAAAATAATAGGTCTTTGGAAAGGTGGGAAGTTACTTAGGATGTGATTACAAGGAACCTGACATTAACCAGTCAAAGATCCTACATACCCTGTCCTTCCTTTGCCTAGAAAGTCCAGAGTTACTTCATTATTTTTTAAATGTTTATTTTTGGGAGAGAGCTCTCCTGAACCATGAGATCATGAGCCAAAATCAAGAGCTGGATGCTTAACCAACTGAGCCACCCAGGCGTCCCAGTAGTTATTTATTTTTTTTTAAGTTTGTTTATTTTTGAGAGAGTGAGAGCTCTCATGCACATGAGTGGGGTAGGGGTGGGGGACAGAGAGAGAATCCCAAGCAGGCTCCGTGATGTCACCATGGAGCCTGATCTGGGGCTTGATCTCAGGATCCGTGAGCTCATGACCTGAGCTGAAGTCAAGAGTCAGACGCTTAAATGACTGAGTCATCCAGGAGCCCCAAGAGTTATTTTAGAGTGGCAAGAAAGCAAATCTCCTATTTCATTTTTTTTTTTTTTGAAGCTTTACTTAATTGGAGAACTTTGCATTTCTTTCTATTGGTGACCTGTTCCATGCCTGGGAAAGGATCTTCTGCTATTGGGAATGTGCTTCCTCAGACTAGTCAGCAAAGTACTGGGTCTAGTTCTGGATACACAACGGAATTGGGATTCGGAATACCCAGGAACGTTCACGGGACAGCACAGAATGATTCAGGACAAGACCTATGTGGAAAGGTAGAGTGAAGAGGGATTAGTTGGTTTAAAGTAGAGACCTCAGGCACAAGTAGGATGCTTCCATAGAAAATAATGATGATGGGGCGTCTGGGTGGCTCAGTTGGTTAAGCATCCGACTTCAGCTCAGGTCATGATCTCGCTGTTTGTGGGTTCGAGCCCCGCATCGGGCTCTGGGCTGACAGCTGGGAGCCTGGAGCCTGCTTCGGATTCTGTGTCTCCCTCTCTCTCTGTCCCCCCCCCCCCAAAAAAAGAAACATTTAAAAAAATTCAAAAAAAGAAAAAAATGATTATGACGACCATCAGTTGTCAGTATTTTTTTTTTAATTTTTTTTTCAACGTTTTTTATTTATTTTTGGGACAGAGAGAGACAGAGCATGAACGGGGGAGGGGCAGAGAGAGAGGGAGACACAGAATCGGAAACAGGCTCCAGCCATCAGCCCAGAGCCTGACGCGGGGCTCGAACTCACGGACCGTGAGATCATGACCTGGCTGAAGTCGGACACTTAACCGACTGCGCCACCCAGGCGCCCCAGTTGTCAGTATTTTTAAAGTGAGGGTACATAAATATAAATTGTCTCGGGACCTTGTTTCCGGTGTCTTTTTCTTGAGATGTTCATGTCTCGGGTTCCATGGTCTTCCATCCAGAAAGAAGGCACTAGATTTGGGTAGTTGAAGAGGAAAAGGAAAGGCAGCCTGCAGCATTGGTATGCTGAACGCCTGACTGGTGTGTAGGATGCAGCAGGGAATTAACAAATCCTTTTGAAATGAACAAATCCTTTGGAAGCATCCCATGGGCCACTCTGTATTGCTGCCATGTTAGGTCTAATGATCTTGAGATACTTGGCTCCTCTTTATCTTCCTTCAGGAGTGGGTTATAAACAAATGAGTTCTGGGCCGCCTGGGTGGCTCTGTCTGTCGGTTAAGTGTCTGACTTCGGCTCAGGTCATGATCTTGTGGTTGGTGGGTTCAAGCCCCACATTGGGCTCTCTGCTGTCAGCACAGAGCCCTCTTTGGATCCTCTGTCCGCCCCCCTCCCCCCAAAAAATAAACAAACCTCAAAAAAATAAAATAAACAAATGATGGGAATGCAAGCCGGTGCAGCCACTCTGGAAAACAGTATGGAGGTTCCTCAAAAAACTAAAAATAGAACTACCCTACGACCCAGCAATTGCAATTCTGCCCATCTGGGCACAAATCAGTCTTACCTATGGTGGGTAACTATTCTCAGGCATAAGAATAGACCTGTAAATAGAGGTGCCTGGGTGGCTCAGTCGGTTAAGCATCTGACAGTTCAGAGCCTGGAGCCTGCTTTGGATCCTATCTCTCCCTCTCTGTGCCTCTCCCACTCACACTCTCTTTCTCAAAAATAATAAACATTAAAAAAAAAAGAATACACCTGTAAGTAATAAGTCAGTGGTGGATATTATTGATATTTAGCAGTAACCCTTGAAACCCATTTAAAATTCAGTCTAGCAAGTAACCTTTAACTGTTGGGCTCTTTGATGCCATTTGTCTACAGGATCAATGGCAGCGTTTTCAGTCTCTTTGGCATTCTGAATGGACGTCTTGTCAGTTACACTGATGGAGTAGGAGATCTAAGAGGGTAAAACAGAGAGAGCATGTTAACAAGTTTCTTCTTAGTCTTAGAGCCACGAGGCTCATCCGTGTAACCTAGAAAGAGACCCTGAAGGGCTGTGTTTTCTTTTCGGTTCAAGGATCTATCTCAGTCTTCAGGGACCTGGATTGTTCCTAAGGAAAATGGGAATAAATAACGTTTCCTCCTGTAGGGATGATGTGAGAATTGGTGCTTTGAGGTCAAACTACTATTATTTTTTTTATTAAAAAACTTTTAAAAGTTATTTATTGAGAGAGAGAGCAAGAGTGTGATAGGGGCAGAGAAAGGAGAGACAATCGCAAGCAGGCTCTGCACTGTCAGCACAGACCCTGATGTGGGGCTCGAACTCCCGAACTGTGAGATCATGGCCCGAGCCGAGATCAAGAGTTGGACGCTTAACCGACTGAGCCACCCAGTCACCCTGTGCTTTAAATGTTTGATATATACTCAGGGGACCCAGTTTTCGAACAGTTACCTGAACTGAATGTAGCAACAAATGTCGAGTATATCAAATGAGATACTAACGTAGTGAAATAACGCTGTACTTGAAGATAGCGACAACAACAACAGAAATAACAATATTCATTGGATGTGCATGGTGTGCTAGTAGCTGTCCTAAGCACTTAGCATATATTCTATCAGTTATATTAAAGCTGATCAGGTATGTAACTATTAACTACCATATCAGGTATGTAACTATTAACTGTTAACAGATGATCTGATTATCATCTCTCAGAGAGGTTAAGTAACTTGCCCAGAATCAACAGCTAGTAAGTAGAAGCACCAAACAGTCTAATTCCAGAGCCTCATATTTTGCAATTTTGCTCAAGTAACTCACTTATTACAGATATCATCTTTGGGGTGCCTGGGTGGCTCAGTCGGTTGAGCGTCCAACTTCAGCTCGGGTCACGGTTGGTGGGTTCGAGCCCCGTGTCGGGCTCTGTGCTGACAGCTCAGAGCCCAGAGCCTGCTTCAGATTCTGTGTCTCCCTGTCTCTCTGCCCCTCCTCTGCCCATGTTCTGTCTCTCTCTCTCAAAAATGAATAAACGTTAAAAAAAAAAATTAAAAACGTAAAAACAGAGAGAGCAATATCATCTTTGACTTGCAGAATTTGTAATGTTGGCACTTAGTGAATTTGAATGATGGAGAGTGAGGTTCTCAACTTTAGTCAGATGTTGGAATGACAAGATATCAGGCGCCCCTGAAGTGATACAGTCTTAATGTTGGTAAAAGATTCTAGAGGTAATCCAGTAACTATAGTACTTCTATACCATCCATTTGCTATTTAGACACATGCCCCAGGGGGCGCCTGCGCAGCTCAGATGGTTGAGCATCCAACTTTTTTTTTTTTTTTAATGTTTATTTATTTTTGAGACAGAGACAGAGCATGAACGGGGGAGGGGCAGAGAGAGAGGGAGACACAGAATCGGAAACAGGCTCCAGGCTCTGAGCTGTCAGCACAGGGCCCGATGCAGGGCTCAAACTCACGGACCGTGAGATCATGACCCGAGCTGAAGTCGGACGCTTAACCGACGGAACCACCCAGGTGCCCTGAGCATCCAACTCTTGATTTCAGCTCAGGTCATGATCCCAGGGTCCTGGAATCGATCCCTGGGTTGGGCTCCGTCCTGAGTGTGCAGCCTGCTTGGGATTCTCTCCCCTTCCCTCTCCCCGCTCTGTTCTTCTCTCCTGCTCATGTGTGTGCACATGTGCACACTCCCTCCCTCCCTCCCTCCTCTCAAAATAAATACACTCCCATCTGTGTCGCTGTAGGTTTAAAGACCTTCTGTGGACTAAGGAGGGGAGAAGGCATAAGGTGGCTTGAGAATATTCCTTTTGTTCTGTAGGAGACCTGGTCCTCTCGACCATCCCATGGAGTAAAACACTCGCTCTCTTAATCCCTGTTTCGTGGATGGTGAACATACTGTCGCATCACTGAGCCACCCAGTTGCTATAAAATTTCTTCCTATGAGAGCAGAAATACATCTTCCTGTAATTTCTAGCCTGCTTCCTTCTGAAATAATGGAGTAAGTCAAACAAAATGAGACTGTTTGGCTCGTTCAGACGATGGCCCCAAATAATAGAAGCTGACTGTGATGCCTTTGCTAAACCTCCTCTTATTCACGGGCGCGGTGGCGAGATTTCTTTGCCATTCGTCCCGGGACAGGTTACCCAGCTTGGGTTCCTTTCGCCACCGTGCCTGATGGCTCGTCAATGTCGAGCTTGCCCTTTCGAAACTGATAGAACTTTCAAATTTAGGTTTTGGATCTTGTTTTATTAAATTGTCCCCGGTGGGCTGCGTAGCGTGACGAGCAGCGAGCCGTGGAATGCTGGAAGAAGCATGGGGTTTAGGGTCCGTCGTGTGCGTTCACGTGTTCCAATTCTCCTGCTGCTCCGTACTCCGCATACATGCAGAGTCAATACAGGGAAGAGGGGGAAATATTTGTTACATATTAATAAGCCAGCGTCTGACAGTGAAGATAACCTCATTCCTCAGGGCGCCTTTGTGGCTCAGTCGGTTAAGCGTCCAACTCTTGATTTTGGTTCAGGTCGTGATCTCACGGTTCGCGAGTTCTAGCCCAGGGTTGGGCTCTGTGCTGACAGTGTGCAGCCTGCCTGGATCTCTCTCTCTCTCTCTCTCTCTCTCTCTCTCTCTCTCTCTCTCTCCCCCTCTCTCCCTTGGCCCCTCTCCCCTGCTCTCACTCGCGCTCTCTCTCTCAAAATAAGTAAACTTAAAAAAAAAAAAAAGATAACCTCATTTCTCACCACTCCCTGTGGCTTCTCTGGCCCCAAGAAAGACAACGTTTATTTTAAGTGAAATCTTCTCTTTACCCGAAGGCAAACCTGTCATGGTTACTGTAGTCGCATACGGAGATACGGCAAATTGATGGTGTGGAAGTGTAGGTACTCAGAGATTGATCTGAAAATGGGGAAAAATGAAAACAAAACTTCTTGATGCTCGAACCATCCTGGCAAATACACGGAGCGACTTGTGCCGTTGGATCATGGGGATTTTTCTGATTACAAATGGGACTGATCAGCAGATTTTGAAGGATTACCTACTCCGCGAAAGGAAAGCTTCCCAACACCACGAAACAGTGTAACTTGCACTGAGGTAGTTAAGAAATATGAATGCTGCCACCCAAGGTCAGGAACCACTGTGTCATGATGCCCACGTCTCCATCCCTCTCATGGCACCGGTTCAAGAAACACAAGGGGATTATACAAGCATTAGGGTTTTACAGCTTTTGCTCCTCTTACTGTAAAGGTTTCCATCCCTTGTTACCATGATGTTAAAAGGAAACACCACTCATTTAAAAGTAAAATCATCTCTTTCCTGGAGGAGAAATGAAGGCCAACAGAGTTTAAAAAAAAAAAAGTTGGGGGGGGGGGTTGGCGCCTGGGTGGCTCAGTCAGTTAAGCGTCCGACTTCGGCTCAGGTCATGATCTCACAGTTCTTGAGTTCCAGCCCTGCGTGGGGCTCTGTGCTCACAGCTCAGAGCCGGGAACCTGCTTCCGATTCCGTGTCTCCCTCTCTCTCTCTGCCCCTCCCCAGCTCATGTTCTGTCTCTCCTTCAAAAACAAATAAACATGAAAAAAATTAAGAGTCTAAACAGGCTGCCTAAGCAGGCAAGGAAATAATCCTTTTTCCAACCTCAAATGAGCGACGTCTTGGACAAAAACGTTATCTGGAGCCTGGGAGAAAAAGTTGGGTTGATCTCCTAGAGCCTCCACTAGGATGTTTGATTCCCTGGACTTCTGGGAAGGGGACTGGGTTTCGTTAACTCAGGTTTTCACTGGTGATATCGATGGTTTGACGACCAGTAATGGGATCCCCTACACAGCCTCTGGTAAAGAATTTACAAATTAAAAATGCATTGCCCTACGCTGCCTTCCCCAGAGAATGTGGGCTGCGTGATATTTCCATCCACACGCTGTTTCGGTGGACTCCGTGTCTGAATCACCCCAGCGAGAGACTCCGAGCAAGTAAAGCATGCTTCTTTCTACGTTATCTCTTTGAAAGTGGAGTGGGACACAACCTCTGCCAGCTATTTTTTTTTTTTTTTTTGTGAACCATTCTATTAATACCAATCAAATCGAGAAAATGATCAAATGAAATTGCATTTTGAGCATCATAAGCTGCGTAATGTCTATTCTGTTAAATTGGGGCCTATAATTGCTTCTCTACTGAAAAGATACAACAAAGACAGCAATCATGGCATGTCATTATCCCAGACTAGAAAACCGGCCTTTGCCGGGAGGACTTCAAAGGCTTGTGGTTCTCGAATTGCATTTGGCTGCTATTGATGAAGCGCGGGCAATCCTGATTAGGTGTTTACACTGAGGTAAGGCGCAGAGCAGAGAGCCTGAGTGCCTGGGTCTAGAGCCATTAAAAAATTGTACATTATGTTCCTTGCTTTGAAGTGAGGGTTTGTAGGAAGGAAAGCAACTCAGATTGAGTACAGCTGAGCTAGACTGGGCTGCGGCTTCTCTCTCAAAGAAACTGGGCAGGTTCTCAGAGAGAATCGGCACCGCACAAAAAAGTTGAGGCTTTAACCAAGAGCGATATGTGAATTAGCGTATCTGCACGACACATGCTGAGTTGTGTTTGCAAAGCGTATCAGCCTTAAGTCCTGTAATCGCTGGATGTTTGGCTCCTTTATTCCTTGATGTTGTGTGTGTGTTTTTTTTTTTAACTTTATGGGGAGCCCCACTATTAATTTGTTTCCTTGTTATTCCTTGAGGGTATTAACTAGCACATGCCCAAATTAAAGCAGGTCAAGGAGTCTGATTTCTGAAATGTAGCGTTTGCTCGCCCTCACCCCAACACGTCTGCTATTGAAACCCTCCCTTCGGTGCATAATCACCGGATTCAATGAGCGTTTGTTAACTGGGCTGACGAGCGATCTGCTGTATTAATTCTGTCCTATTTCTCATACATTCTGCTCCGTGTCAGTCCCCACCCGCTCACATGGGTGC